TGGGGATGGGGGAGGGTATGGGGGGGTTGGGGTTGGAGTATAGGGGGGGTATAGGGGGGTATAGGGGTGATATAGGGGGTATTGGTGGGGGTAATAAGGGTGTTGGGGGCGGTTTGGGGGTGTTGGGGGGGTGTATGGGGGTATTGGGGGCCGCTATGGGGGTGTTGGTGGGTGTTGTTAGGGGTTCTGGACCCCCCAAAAAAATAAAAAATAATTTTATTTTATTTATAAAAAAAAAAATTGCGGGGTGCCAACGACCCCCGACTGGTAGTTGCCGACCAGTCAAGGGCCGCCGACCGTCGGGGGGTGCACACTGCATCTGTAGGAAATTTCAAATTTATCCACCAACTTTTCTTTGTTTTTTCAACTTTGTTTTTTTTTTTTTTTTTTTTTTTCCCACGGATTTCAGTGTATGTGTCTTTTGCGTCTTTTTTTTGGCATCAGCATTGTCGTCCTCGTCATATTGTCATGCCTGCCCTCTTTGCCAGTCTCCTCTCTCTCATTCTACTTCTTCCTTCCTTCCCTCCTCCCTTCTGCTGCTCCCTTCTTCCTCCTCCCCTCTCCCAAACGCCTCCTTTCCCCTCCCCCGTCCTCTTCTCCTTCCTCTTGAATTACGCTGCACTTCGACCCCTCTACACATCCCCATCATTGTTATTGATTCGGTTCTTGCCATTTTCACACAAGGGTGTAACAGAGATGCATGGGTGCTCTATTGCATTGCTTCTGGATGGGGGCAAATATGGCACCAAAAAAAAAAAAAAAAAAAAAAAAAAAAAAAAAGAAACCTCAAAAAAAAAAAAAAAAAAAAAAAAAAAAAAAAAAAAAAAAAAAAAAACAGTGACAGCTAGGAACAGTTTCCATCGTCATTCTGACCTTCGGGTTACACCACCAGTACACGCCCCCAGCCTTGCAGAAAAAAAAACTTGTAAAAAAAAAAAAAGAAAAGTAAACTTGTCGCCACAAGAGAAATTCGAGGCTCGGGGCCGGCCTGGTGAAGCGACGGGCAAGTAGGCTTGTGGGCCCATCGAAAATGGACAACTGGACTAAAGCTTTCCGGCTTGTCCTGTCTGCCCATGCATTTCCACATTCACGTACAGAGCCAGCATCGCTGGCACCGGAATAACAACAAAGAAAAAGCAGAAAAAAAAAAAAAAAAAAAAAAAACGGTAAGCATGGGGCATTGGCAGCACAAAAGACAAAAAAGGTGGCAAATGTATCTTTCGCTTTCTGGGTTTCCTTTGGATGGATTTCGCCACATTCCTGGTCCATATTCGAGGGAACTCAAAGAGTCTTTCTGTTTTAGGTGCCCTGCCAGCAAGGCAGGGCGTTTTTCAACTGTTCCTGGTAGCCGGTTCCTCTCGGTGCACGTATCTACTGCCTAAAGCAGTCTTTATGCATCGAGGGGCATGCCTCTGGGGGGTATGTATCCTACTGCTATTGCCGCCAACCTCAGCAGAAAACATCAGAGTTCCCTTTGTTTTTGTTTTTTTTTTTCCTTCTTCATAGTTGCTGTATCTCTTTGAAACCACCTGTATCTGGTGCTCGAATTCGGGCAGATACACGGGCTGGCGTTGTGGAGGGTTTGGCTGCGGTGGCACACGAGTGAAATCGACAGCCTTCCAGTGTCAAACTACAGTGGCGGGTACTGGTGCCACCGTTTATTTTCCAAGCAGCGGTACCAATCTCTTTTAGGCTCGGCAAAATTCAAATTTAGGCTCGTACATTTAGCCTCGGGTGTACTGGTGGTTTAAGGGAGAACATACACAAAATAAATAAATAAATAAAATTTAATAAAGCCAGCAGTCCTGAATGAAAACAGACTTCACAAACCGAATTGCTAGCACCCAGAAAATACTTCAAAATAATCTGAATGAGAACACAAAGGGACACTGGACCCAGTTTCCCGCAGGTGCTGCTCCCCACCAGGGCCGTGGTCCCATTAGCAAAGAGCATCAGATTGAATGCCTGAATCTGGACGTGTTTGAGGACAGGAGCAGGAAATCGAGATAGAACTCCTTTTCTGTATCTCTGCATAAAACATAGCCAGATTCAGGATTTCTATCCTATCCCCTTCGCTAGTGGGACCACGGCCCAATAGGTTAAAGCACCTAGCAACAAAAAAAAAAAAAGAAAGAAAAAAAGAGAGGACTTTAGCGAACCGGATCGCCAGCTTTATGAGCCTTTATATCTACCTACCTGCTTTACCACAAGGATTTTCCTATCTGCCACCGTGGCAGGGATAATGTCCCCGTAAACACGCTTTGCTTCCTCCGCGAACCATTCAACAAAGCTGCTGCCATACGTAACCTGTGTTCCTCGAGCACCACACAAAGCGCACCAATTAATTAACCACCAATTAACCACCAATTAACCACCAATTAACCACCAATTAACCAACAATTAGCCACCAATTAACCAACAATTAACCAACAATTAACCAACAATTAACCGGAAGGAACGAGCCGATGAGGAGGACACAAAACTCTCGAGATGTAAAAGCTCACAGAAGACACATTCATGATGAGTAAGCTGAGTTGAAAGCAGAATTACACACAAGGCCAAGATCACACCAAATTGAAAAGAACACACTGCAACACAGTGAACAGGGAACTCTCCCAAAAATGAAAGCCCTCTTCGCGCCACCAACAATCAAGACAAAAACAACAACAACAACAACGTAGTAGCCCTACTATGATGTGACCACCTAAGCTACTCTCTCACTCTACCTACACACACTACTCTCTCTCTCTCTCTCTCTCTCTCTCTCTCTCTCTCTCTCTCTCTCTCTCTCTCTCTCTCTCTCTCTCTCNTCTCTCTCTCTCTCTCTCTCTCTCTCTCTCTCTCTCTCTCTCTCTCTCTCTCTCTCTCTCTCAGAGTCCCTCTCTCTCCACAAGCGTCTCAGCATAGCAAGTACCGCCAGTTCTCACGCCAATGCTCCTCGGCCATAACCATGGCTAGAACAGCCAGTTCCCACACCAATTAACCACCAATTAACCATCAATTAACCACCAATTGACCACCAATTAACCACCCATTAACCCCCAATCAACCATGGCAATTCCCACGATTGCTGATGAAGAGTCTGCTCACGCCTGTCCTCCTCGGCCATCACCTTGTGTTAACTACCACCAGTCCCCACTCTCTTCCTCACCTTCCTTTCAACACATGCCACCCTGTTCCTGCTCAATGCTGCCCAGCTATGGCAGGCGCTGGCTTTTGCAGCCAGCAGGGGAGCTATCTCACCTGCCTTCCTCCTCCCTGGGATCTATGTCGCTGCAATGCGTTCCCCCAGCACTGATGCACTGCTGCCGATGCCCGATTGTATTGCTTTCCACGGTCTCCTCCTCTCTTTTGTTCAGCCTGAGAGGCCAGGGTCGGGGTCGCGGTAGGCAATCCCTACTGGCTACCGGCCTAACTCATCGTCCTGGCCCATGTAATGAACTCAGAAGACGGGCCTGCCAGTCAGACCCATGGACTGGGGCTGCAAACGCTGCCCAGAATATCCAGGCGTGGCCTTCACTTAGGGCCGGCCTAGTTTTTCCACACTGCGGCCTTCACCGAGTGTCGGACAGCATTTTGCACAGGCGACCTTTTTTCTTAGGGCCACGCCGAGGGTTGGAGCCTGACATAACCACCACTTAAACCACCAATCAACCCCCAATTAACCACAAATTGACCCCCAATTAACCTCCAATTACCTGACATAACCACCACTTAAACCACCAATCAACCTCCAATTAACCGCCAATTAACCACAAATTGACCCCCAATTAACCCCCAATTACCTGACATAACCACACTTAAACCACCAATCAACCCCCAATTAACCCCCCATTAACCACAAATTGACCCCCAATGAACCACAAACCAATCAACCACCAATTAACCCCCAATTAACCCCCAATTAACCACAAATTGACCACCAGTTAATTGACTGGTGGCTGTTACAAGATGACCATATGCAACTTGTGTTCAGCCGTCACACAAAGTCCACCCCACAATCCATCAACCGGTGACCACCACCAATTAACCAACTACTGGTTGCGCGTGTAAGAAAGGAAATATAGTTTCTCAGATAGAGCTAGCAAGAAGAACAGTTATGGAATTGGTTAGACCAGTGGTCTTGAGGCAGAGGGAAGGTATAGTCTTGGCAGTACCAGTAGCAGGACGGGCCACGGCTGGGGGAACCAGCAG